GTGGGTGGCGATGGCAGCTCAGACTGTCGATGAAACGACGTGAGGAATGTAGGGGAACACCGCGCACAACTCATTCACTCTCCATCTTTCCGTCCCCGCTGTCGCCCCAGAGTCCATGAGAAACAACTCAAAACAAATCCACTGAAATGAATGGACCTAAAACACACTCATGGCTCCGTGTGTCACCTCTTACCTCCATCTCATTAAAGATGAAGCTGGAGGCGATATCATCAACTAGCTATTTAGCATGCTAGTTACAGACTATGAGGTGTTCTCTGTTTTTTTTTTATGCATTAGAAATGTTTTCAGGGACGGAGGTCACAGAAAAGTGCTTTTTGTATTTCTCAGTCCAGACTTTTTTTTTTTTACCGCTTATTTAGCTAAGAGCTAATCAGCCATTCATTTTAATATTAAAAGTCTCTGCGAAAAAAGGCTTAGGTCAGTAAACATGCAGCGTGGGAGCAGAGATTAGCTTTTTGTTAGTGACTAAAACACTGAACAGGGACTCTTACATTAGGAGCAGAGAGAAGCACTTGTTAGAAAAAGGGACAAGGTTAATTTGCCTAAGTAGGTTATGAAAATTAAAGCGAGCCTTGAATGTGATTGCTGCCCACAAAAACCATCTAAAGATATCTGACCTAATAATCAAACTGCATAAAAACACACATTAAAGGCCACATCATGATGATCAAAACTAAATGAAACTAATAACAGTCTAATCAGATGCTTTCACAGCCTTTATCCTGGACAGAATGTGTCCTTTCTCCTCCTTTCTAGCAGCCTTTGTGACTCAAATGAAGGGAAACCAAGATCCACACTTTGTCATTTTTAAGTGTGAGATTGCAAAGGAGGGTTGGGAAGGCCATCACATAGAAAACCCACAAAATAAACACGCTGCTACACCTGAAAATGCCTGTCAGGCGCTGTTAGACATCTGCTTTCATAGGGAATCAAATCAGAAGCTTTTCATTTCTCTGCAGGATGGCGAGCTTAGGTCAAAAGAGGATGAGGCCTTTGATGTTAATGAAAGAGCAGACGGTCTCCAAGGTCTCTCTCTCTCTCTACACACACACACACAACCCTTCATTCTCATTCCCTTCACTTTCTCTCTCTTCCCCCAGGCCAGGAGCGCTCGCTGAGCTAAGTCTGTAGGGGGCGGGAAGGTTGCAGAGGTGCCCTTGAGCAAGGCGCAGATCCCCTGCCAGTTCAGGAGGGCTCACTGTGGGCAGCATCAGTTTTTATTCGTCTATATTTTGTGTCTCTTTATTTTCATAATCAAATCAACATTTCATTTTAAGATACCTAGGCTGACCTTTATCGAACTTGCTGAGCTGAGACATCTTCCACTTCTCTCATTTCAGTGTCGTACCTGATGGAGATCTTTTCCCAGCACAAATTCCTGGAAGTATCCCGGGGCGGCAGACGAGGCCCTGATAGCCTGCCACATTTTGTGTTTGCAGTCTCCAAGGTAGTGGGATCTCACTCCTGGCATGAGTCTGTAGTTCCTAAACACGTAGCCCTTCAAAGGTAAACCCCTGTTCACAATGGCACTCACTGCTGACACCTAGTGGACACAAAGGGAATGGATGTATTTTAAGAGTGCCTCAACAAGCTGGTTTGTACCATTCTGTGAAGTGTTCATTGCTGTATTTATCCTGTTAAGTATCCAAGGGAAATGTACATCTTCTTGTCTAAAATCTAATTTATGAAAGCAGAAAATGGTACGAGCGTTGATCCTAACAGTGTAGAGCTGATATGTGACTTACTTTAGGGCAGTTTGGGTCCCTGGCACTCTCAATCATAATCCCCTCACCCATCCTCTCCCTAAAGGAACGAAACATAATTAAATAAATCACAGAAAATTAGGAGAAGATCTGAACCATGAAAGACGGCTGTGAAGGATTTGAAAGACACGAAGCGTGACAGATTCCTGCTGGCTTACTTGAGGATGTTTTCCCATATTTCACTGTCATAAAAGGCGTGACTCCAGCCCATTTTAACGGTTCCAACGATGACATTTTGTTTGAAGACGTCCGCACCCAGCTTCCTGTACATCTCCTGACACTCCTCTAAGGGGATCTGATAGATTCCCAGCATGAAGGCCAAAATGGCACCTAAAGCAGTAGCATCAGGAGTTTACATACATTGAGATGTCAGATAAACTACACGCGTGACGTGGTGACATCTTACCTGTGCTGACTCCACAGATGTAGTCGAACAGCTGGTGGACTGGTTGGCCCGTCATGTTCTGCAGTTTCTGGAGAGTTTGCAGGGCCAGTAGTCCCCTGTTACAAAGTGAGAGAGCTTGTAAACCTAAACTGTCAAAACTGTAGCCATTTTATTTGATCTACCGCTACTAACATGCTGTGGTGTTCTTTTACACTGGATCTGCAGTAATAGCTGCTACATATGTGGCCGTCATTTTTCAATCCTTATTCAAACAATGAAGGCAGTTCTTTTTTTCTCTCGATTTACTGTTGGTACATTTTACATTCTGTAGCTGGTACTATTTCCTTATGTGCTGAGTGTGTTCAGAGGCAGACTGCTGTCACAATCCTGCTCCACAGACAGACTTAAACCTCTATCGTCCCCCCTGGCCATACATTTGTACAACACCTCAGTAATGGCAGGGGGGAGGCACACAGTGACTCTTAGACTAAAGCATTTTTAGCACTTAAAGAGACAGCCTCTAGTTGACACTTTAATGCATATCTTTACAGATAGCATAACAGCCCAATCGCACCGACTCTTTTAAAGAACTGCACTACCTCTTGTCAGACGCTGCTATCACATGCAATCTACTCTATCATGTACAGGTCTAATTTTGCCAGTGTTTTTAAATTGTACATAGGTTATATTCTTATAGCAGCACTGGTTGTGTACATTTTCTCGGTATATGTCTCATTTTTTAATTCTACAGTTTCATTTTGATCAATTTAGGGGTTTCTTTAAATCTTCATTCAGGTTAATATACATATTGTTTGTAAGCTGCTACTGGATGCTTTGTATTTTCCTTGAGATAAATAAAGTCTCTATCTATTTATAATGAACATATCATTGTTTAACAGTCGTTAGACGCCACAGATACTTCTATGTTTGTTTCCCATTAATCAGATTACCTTGTTCCGCCTCCGTCAATAGCGAGTACCCGAATCCCTCGGCCTTTCACTGGCTCATTGTAGCCAACCAGGGCCAGCGCCTCTCTCACCGCTGCCTGAAGAGGGAGGTCTTTGGCTTGGCGCAAACGCAGCAGGGAGGGCAACACACTCTCCTAAAAAAAGGTCCCAAAATGAAACGCGCACACACGCTTTACTGTGAAGAATGCACCTTTGACAACGCACCTGAAATGGAATGACACCGCAGTTGAAACACACAAACCTTGATTGCGACACCTCGCGTCTCAGGGAACTCCATAAGGTGACCGCTGAGCTCCTCCACTCGACTGATGAGGAGTTTGACTTCGGTGACTCTCTGCAGGCCTTTCACCAGAGCTCTCGTCCTGTTGTCTACACTCACCCTGGCTATTATCTGCAAGAAAAAACATATCTATCACAACTGGCTTTCCTTTGTAATGTTTTTTCTTTGTTTTATCTTATTTGAAACTTGTAATTTTTGACTTTTTAAAGCACTAAGAATTCATCAGAGTTCCCCCCCCAAACACCGTACCTTCTCTCTTTGACTCAAGAGCTGTTGCTTTGCTTTTTCGCTTCCTCCTCTTCAGCGTCCGTCTTGTTTCTTCCTTTTCCATGGCGGACTCTTCCGCAGTGACTGCCAACGACTTTCCTTTTTCAGCCGCTACGCTTTTGGATTCACTTCTGAATTTGGGGACCAGGGGCGTGATGTAGCTGCCGACAAACGCCTGAACGCTGGGGCGAGGGTAGGAGAGATAATGGCTGAAGCCTTTTTTAGGGGAGGCAGCGGGCGCGGGGATGGGGATGGACTGAGGTGCACTTTCAGATGCAGAGGTGTCAGGAACGAGGGTGTCGGTGGGGGAACTTTGCTTTTCTGAAGAAGGAGGAGATGTAGTGGGTGCTTCAATACTTTTAGCCTCTGCCACTGGAGACAAAATAGGAATGTGGTCCCCGTTTTTTTAGGAATGCAGCCAAGAATGGACTCAGACACGGGATCATCAGCTCCTCTGGGCTGATGTGTTGGTGGCCTGCTGTCTTCTTCTTCTTCAACTGGTGAACTCGTGCCAAAGTAGTTATTGATATGCAGAGACAGAGTTCTGTAGGTCTCATCCATGTTGGTGGACAGAGCTGCCGGGTGAAACAGCTGCATAGTTTGTTTTGCCACAGTAGAGGAGCGCTTGTCGCAGACGCAGTCGCTGCTGAAGCCAGACTAGCTGATGACTTCACTGTGACGACAAAAGGGTTCTCCGCAATGTGCTCTTCCTCTGCTGTAATCCTCTCCCTTTCCTCTTCTTCTCCCTCTTCTTTCATGGCGGCTGCAGACGGCGGGGCCGCAGCTGCGCTGTTGGAGGCCATGCTCTCAGCTTTGACGAGAGCCTTTTCCGACTGAGCGCCGTCGACTGCGGTGCTGCCAGGCTTGAGGCGGGAGAACTTGGACATGAGGTCGGTGCTTCCGACTGCCTTGGTGACACTGTCGAGGGTGGTCCTGATTCGCGACATGCGTCTGCTCGCTCACTTGAAAGCGCAGTTGAGTTCTTCAGGGGAATGAATGAAGCAGCATTCTTGTAGACTACATGCCATCAGCTACAATTGTTTTAGAATAAATTCCATTTTGGGGTGAAATTGGGAGCGTTGGAATTTTACTTCTTGTATGAATGCTCCTGGAATAAAAAAGGATGGAATGAAAATTAGCTCAAGAGACACAAAGCATTCTTAGTAAGAGTAATAAACACTGCATTTGCAATTGAAAGTGATCCAACAGAAGGCCCCATGTGACACCCTGTCAATCCTGGTTGCCATGGAAACCATATCCCAAACAAAACAAAACACGAACGCTGGCAACAGCGTCCACAGGCTGCAACTCCCACATGGCACCGGGCTGCTGTTCCTCGAAGCCGAAGTCGTGATGGAGGTCGACAGCTACGCGTCAAACCCGAAGCTCTCAGCAGAGTCTGCTCGACTGGTCGAACATCTGAAGGAGAGACATCGCAGCGACACCAAGGAGCAGGTGGGTAGCTCTCCAAACGGTGACCTCGGGAATATAAACTGGATGGCGAGCGAAGACTTCACCGCAGAAGTGGGTAAGAGTCTGATTAACAAGTGCATCCAGAGCTGGGAGTTGCAGCCCTGTTGGCTCTACAGTCTGGATTTTCTCCACTCCACGGAGGAGGAGGAGGACCACGACACCTTCTACCACTACCGGGCCCGCTTCAGCACACCCACCCCGCGGAAACCCATTCAGGGGACAGCGGGCGTCTACTTTGTCGTGGGCATTTCGAAAGTCAAGCCACGGACTCTTCCCCCCGTGGAGGTGCTGTTCACTGTGGAGTCGAACCGGCTCGTACACACGCCGGGGAGGAGCCGCTTCACAGAGAAGTGGCTGGCGGATGTTATCGAGAGCAAGACTTTGCTCCAGAGAGCGATGGACCTTTGAAGCAGTTCAACCCCCCCCCCCTCAAAACACATCACACGGAAAGAGAAGACTTCACGCTGACCCCTTCTTTTAAAACATTCAGTTATAGACGCATTAAACACCTCTGGATGGACTTCGCATTAGCCATTAGCTCCAAAGTAGATTCCTTTTAGCAGCACTGTATTGCCAGTTTGTCTCAGATTTTTTTTAAAAAAAAAAAAAACATTCGCATTATCAACACATGTCTAATTCTTACCATGTTTTAAAATCGTTGAATTTGCTGCCATATGTTTCATTCACTGTGCTGCTGCTGCAACAAATGTATAGCTGCTGGGCGCGTTAGAGACAATAAACAGGAAGAAAAGCGGAAGTGACGTAAGTCCACGACGGCTGAGTGATTTACAGACTGCAGCGCAATGATCAATATTGGCCAGCAGATGTCAACAACATACATTTCATTAACACATTTACACACTCGAGGAGACGAACACAGAGATCAAGAATCCACACGACCTCAATACGCAGGATTCAACAAAGGGTTTAATGCATTAATAATGTATGGTTTGCTGGATTTCAACATTATTATTGTGGGCTAGTGGTGATGTGCCTGAGTTCACCACGTCTACAGTAATATGTTTAGTATTTCAGCACCACGGAGAGCAATATTTAGGTGAATCCACTTTTCAGAGCGAAAGGAATTCAGTGGTAACACAAATGACATTTGTATCTTGAAAAGGTGACATTTAATTGAGTCTTTGACATCTCAAGCAGGGCAGTCCTTGAAGTGCAGTAACCAATGATTCACCAGAGCCAGACTTCAAAGTGAGAGAAGACAATTGTATAGTGGTTTGAAGCATGTCAACTCACAATTGCCCTTTTGAAGGGAAACATACTGGGAGTTAATGGAAACGATAAAAGCCAAGATGAATCACTGCCATACTGTAGCTTGGTTCTGATTTCCATGACATGTCAGTGCTTGGAGAGCCGCAGGTTGGTTCCCTGTATGTGTCAATGGTAGGAGATGGTCTGCTTGACATTTTACACGGAGCCGATCTAGGCAGGCAGGGGGCTGCCCTGGAAAAGCTTAACACATGTGGAGTCTCCTGTAGAAAAAGACTCCATGTACTTTGTGAAAAATGAAAACCCTAACTGTGTTGAGAAATCCATTTGAAAAAACACTTCCTTTGAAAAGAAACTCAACAGCTTCACATTCTTAAACTGGATCTCCGAAGAGATCTGACTTTTTTTCAAACATTATCACAGTAGGGTGTAACCATTTCCAAAGGGATTTGCTTAGTGTCATTTTATATTTATATAATGGAAATTCACATAAACAAAAACAAAAAAAGGTAGAAAGCATGACCCGTTCCATCTTTTGCCATTGTTTTCAAAAACTTCAAAATGAAAAGCTGTTCTTTCAGGTCCAATTATTATTTCTAAAGACAAACGCTTCAGTTCACTTGCTGCTTACATCAGGCATCATCTTTTCTCTCTATGCCCACTCCACCTAGGGATTATATATTATGTTTAGTTTATGGGTGAGTTGGTGTAACCTCTGTATCTCCTCTCTTTGTTGGGGTGATTGTACTGTACTGTTAGTCACTTGTCTTTACATGTTCTGTGAAAAGCATCTCTATTATGCTGCATTGTAAAGCATTATTTAAAAATGTGTGATAAAGGGAGTATAATTGCACTTTGACACAGTGGATCTTTCCTTTGTAGTGTAAGTAGTAAGATTGCACTGACTTGACCAAATACTGTATTTAGTCAGTCATAGGTTGGTGACTGAATTGGTTAATATGACTTCTGGGAGTCAGCTAGCAGCTCCCATCTGTCATTTAAAGTGACATGTCCTCAGTTATGCAAAACTTTTCTCCTAAACATATTTAAACAGGTCAGTTATATAAAAATGAAAACAACTCTGGTTGTCATGGTTAAAAAATAATCTAAAGAGAATTAAAGCTATCTTTTGTTTTGGGTGGTAAACACTTTTATTCTGCTGTAAAGTGGTGCTTTTAATATAAGACCTGATGGGGATTTAACCTCTTTAGAGAGTGCTGACACATAAGTGTTCTCAACCTAATTAAACTCTCATGCAGTAGCATATTTCACGTCATATAAAAACGTCCTTACATATGGTTTAAAACCAAAGTTGGCCGTCTGAAAAACAGCTGTTCTAAAAAGCATACAGTTTAAAAAGTAACTCAGAGCGTTCTGAAAAGATCCTAAATGGGTCCATAATGCAAAACTGTGGTATTTTTACGTTAAATTGACTTTGTAAAAAAAAATCAAGTGTTTTGACACATCATTTTCAACATATTCAAACTGTATAACTGCTGTGTGAAATGATGATTCATATTGTAAAGACGAGATCTGAGGTCGGAAATATCAACTGGGATTTATCCTGATAGGGTTGATAAGTATAACAACATTTATTTTAACAAGAACAAGATATCAAGGTTCAACTATCAAACCCCTGTCCTATGAAGAGTGGTACCTTCTAGTTCTGTTCATGTGAAATAATTTGTTTCCAAAAGTTCAGTTACTGGAACTGCTTTCTCTGCCTCTGCAATTTCAGTGTCAGATCTTTAATAATAATAATAATAATAATAATAATAACTTTATTTATATAGCACCTTTTAAAAACACAGGTTTACAAAGTGCTTTGACAAACAGCAAGAACAAAGCAAACTAAACACAGAAAAACATTACAACAGTAAGAATATAACAGATGCAAAATACCAAAAATAATTAAAAACAATTCAACAGAAAAGAACCCAAAGTGCACGATACACAACCAGACATATATAACCCAACCATCATAAGAACCCAGGAACACAAGAACCCAACAACATGAGCTGAGACCAAGAGGACCAAAGATTTAAAAAGATGTAAGAAACTAAGAGATAATGGCAACACCTCACAGTGCACTTACAATCGAGTGCTACTTTGTCATGTTTTTTTTTTTTTTCATTTGAGTAGTACTTCTGAACTCAGCTGAACTACATTGTAAACCCTTAAATGAAGAGATGTAGCATATAAATTGTGCAAGCTTCATCACAGACGTTTTTTAGGTTGTTGGGGCCAAGAACAGATCCATGAGTAACACCTTGGTTCAGACAGAGCTTCCAGGGAGAGAGCAAGCATGACTACAGCAGGAAATGTTTGAACATGAGCTGAAACACAGCACAAGTTTATAATTCTCTCGATTGAAAACAAGAGACAGACCTGTATTAATACTTTATTCTCAATAATACTGCATGGGTACGTATTTTGAGTTTATAGATTTCCATATTTCATACTTATATATGTTGGTACTTTTTGTAATTTCCAGTCTAATTCTAGGCTATATGTTTATTTGTATTTACTTGAGGTCTGACTTAGAAAGTCAGTCATCACAGAGTACACTGACTGTATGGATACACTGACACACCTCCTCGAACACATGAGTCACTTGCAACACGCGCGCACAGGAGCAAAATGCAGAGACACGTCTATGCGCCAACACTGCAACACTGCTCCTAGAATATGGATGGAAATTGAATATTTGAGTCTCTAAAAATATACAGGAGACACAGAGTATCCTTGCTTCAATGGGTTCTAGCAGAAACAGCCCTGACAAAGCAACGCATGGAGATGAAGTGGATGAACGGTTTGCGCTCATCAGAGCCGGTATTCTGGGTTTGGTTTTTGTGCTCGCAACATGTGGGAATCTTTTCTTCTTGGTAACACTTTGGAGGAAGAGAAAAAGAAACACGAGGACGCAGTTGTTTCTGTTACACCTGTGCTTGGCGGATCTGGTGGTGGCGTTTTTCCAAGTGTTACCGCAGTTTTTGATTGAAATTACGCACAGGTTCCGCGGCACAGACTTTCTGTGCCGGTCCGTAAAGTACCTACAGGTGGTTGGGATGTTCGCCTCCACGTACATGATAGTAGCCATGACCATAGACAGGTACCATGCGGTGTGTAAGCCGATGGTTTCATTCTTAAAGAGCCCATTTAGGAGATATTTGTCTATAGGCGCAGCGTGGCTCATCTCCCTCGCCTTTAGCTCTCCTCAGCTCTTCATCTTCTCTCTCCGGGAGGTGGAGGAGAACCAGTTCGACTGCTGGGCGACATTTATCGAACCGTGGGGGAGCCGAATCTACATCAGCTGGATCACACTGTCCGTGTTCGCCCTGCCTGCTGTCATTCTGCTCCACTGCCAAGTGGGGATCTGCACCACCATTTACTTCAACATGAAGAGGAAGGCGCTGCAGGCAGGGCGCGCTGGCACGAAGGGGGTGTCCAGTGCCATGCTGAAGACTGTGAAAATGACCTTTGTGATTATACTGGCATACACAGTTTGTTGGAGCCCGTTTTTTGTTGTCCAGTTGTGGTCTGCCTGGAGCCCATCGAGTGCGCCTACCCAAGGTCTGTCCAAAATGACGCAGATGCCTTCGATGTTTAATCTGCTTGTGTCATATATTGGAGAACATGTGATTTACAGAATTCTTTGTGTGTGTGTGTGTGTGTCTCTCTCTCCCCCCCGCAGGCCCTGTGTTTGCCATCATTATGCTGCTGGCAGGTCTCAACAGCTGCACCAACCCTTGGATTTATCTCTACTACAGCTGAACCGTATGGCGGAGCATTTCAACTGAACCTACTGCAGATGTGTCACATCAATATGAAACTCAAGATACAATCCTGGAAAAGAAAAGAATATTTGGCATCCAGTAACCAAACCAAATGATGGGTTCAGTATGAGTCAAAGCACAGAGTGCGATGGAAAAGCTCCTTTATAATATTGTACATTTGTAAAATATGATGACTATCTATTGTCAACACTTCTGTGTTTAACATCATTTGTTTTTAGAGTATTTTGTGGGTTTAATGCCTATGTTCCCATTTTCAGACAAATATCTATTAATACCAGCATAAGTCCCTTTTTCCCTAACTATTCTACATGGAACAATACTCTACTTCATTCAATACTGTGGCAGACTTTTTATATAATGGTCTATTTTCAATCAAGTACACGTTTAACTTGATGAATGTGAATTTCTGCTCTAATGTTCATTGAATACAAGAGTTTTGTTTGCTTTAACTGATTTGGATTGTATTACTTTGCTTTTCCTGTATGATAAATGTTTCTTAAGTGTTTCCTAAATAAATGCTGCTATTTACAGAACAGGTGTCAGCCTCTTAATTTACCTGCAATTTGTTATGCATGCATTCATTATGTAATGAACCTGTTGCAAAATGTCACTCCACTGATTACAAATACCTGCAATTCATCTTTTTCCATAATGCTTTCTAAATGAACTTCTATCATAAATTATTTAGATTTTTTTTTAGATTACTCAATAACTTCCCTGACTGTTGTTTCAGTTATTTTTACACATTCCAAAACTGCAACAGGTGTTATTCCTTCTCTTCTCCCACAAGGTCTCACAGTGTATTAGTCCTCTAATCCACTCTGGGTATGTTTTCTTTGCCTTTGTAGGCACAGAGCAACATGATTAAATCATACAATCCCGATTCAATACTCATTTCAAGAATCAATTCTAATAAACCTTTCTAATACTACAGAGCCTCAATGAGGTTTTTGAAATTGCACTTCACACTCTTTCCACATGTGCATTCAATCTGTAATTATTATTATTTTTAAATGTCTCTTTCCCACACACACACACGCACGCACCATAAATGTATACAGCCTCTGAGCCTTATTAGCATCTTTATGTAACAGTGACATCATGCAGTACTTGATGTAAAGCTCAGCAGGTGTTTCTCTATTCCTGAGCATTGACATGCTGGTTTGAAAGTTAATTTTGTTGATGACACATTCCCATTTTAGCAAATCTGTGGGTTAAAAATACAATATCTTAACAAGACAACAATCAAATAGGAATTGTGTGACCAGGCCTGCTACAGTGCAGAGACAGCCTATGGCACATTTCATTCTGGAAAGGCTGCTTCAAATAAGATTAGGTCTCTCATTTAGCCAAAATACTATGATGACTAATTCAGGGCCCAAGGGTAGAGAAGTGGGAGATAAATCCTGCTGCTGGTTCATGTTCATGCTGTTGTCAGGGTTTAAAACAATCAGCAGAGCTGAAGAAGACTCACCGACATATAGCCTTTGGAGGAGAACAAATATCAGAGAAACATTTCCACAGAGCACTTCAAAATAAACCCATCGCAGAACATTCTACAAAGCAGAACATTCTACAAAGCAGAACATTTTGAAGTCATGCTGGTGCTTTCAATCAAGCGCAGAAGTTTCTGCTCACACGGACGTGATTGCTTCAGCGATACCAGGATGCAGACGTGTGTGAATGGTGGTGTTTGAACACAGTGGCATTGATTTGGTGTGCGTTAACACAGACACCCCTGCTGTTAGTGTTGACCTCCAAACTGTCTCCATGGTGGAGAGGATGAGTGTTATTCTATGTTGATGTAATTGGTAGGAATGATATCTACAGCATGTCAGTCTTTCCTGGAGAGAACACCCCTTTCTTGCACTAGGGTTTAATCCATATTTCCCCCTTGGTAACAAGGTAATATGCTATAGGATTGTGGCAGGCTCTAAAATTGCTCGAGTCTTAATTAAAAACCTCAGAAGAAAATAATTATGCCAGTTGTATTAAGATATTAGTTTAAAAAGATCCATCTGGAGTAGGGGAAGCACTTTTGCAGCAGGGTGTTCAGGGGCTAAGAGGCCCTGTGGTGTCACTGAAAAGTAAAAGCGCAGGATGAAAAACAAGCAAGACTACAGCCATGATTCATGCAGTCCATGATGACAGGCAGCAAAGCACTCTGCTGCTTCTCTTTATCAGCAAAGTGTGTCATTAAAATGAGCTTTGATGCTCATCAAATGTATATTAGGGCAGAAATAATGAAAAACAAATGAATACAATCATCAATATAGATATCTATCAAATGTCATATGTGATATAAAATGATCTGATACCCTTTGATGAGGATTCCCACGTCAAGGCGGGAAGTCGGGCACCTCATTCTTTTCCCGAGTTGTTGTTCCGACTTGAGCAGGTGTTCATTTGCATTTTACAACTCAGAAACATTGTTTTTCCAACGTGTCCCGACACCACATGAACGCACCACAACAGTCCTACAGTGCCAACCATGGTATAAATTCTGGTACGGACAAATCATAATGCAGTACCATTTAGAGTTTAATAAGACACAATGTTTAGTTTCCTGTACAACATCAACGACCGAGTGACTCAATCGACTCCACAATTCAAATACAAAATCTCTTTTCAAGTTCTCATTTTGCAACTATTTTTAGATTCAGATCAACACAGATGATATGTAATCTTCCAAAACGTTCTGCCTCTCTTTAAAAACTGCGCCATCTTTCTTCAGGAGCGCGATCTCCGTCTCCAGAGCTCGGATTTTGTCCACGGTGCTCGCCTCCCTGCGATCCAGTTCTAAAATCTTGCGTTCAAACTCATGATTCTACTCCAGAGCTGATCTTTGTCCGTGTCCGGTCTGCAGTACGCATGCTCGTATAGGGAGATGTGCTCCCCCTCGACGGGTCCCCTCTCTTCTGAAAGGCACTCAGCCGGTTCTTCTTTGACCATTTCCACAGGAACAAAACTAAAAGTTTGACCCAGCGCTGCTTGGAGGGCGGCGGTGTCCATGTTTGCCTCTCCATTTGGGAGAGGGCCTAATGTCTCACAGCACAACACAGTCACAGTTGAGTCAGTCTGTTGTTCAAAATGGGACTCGTTGCCAAAGCGACACTGCTCGACGGGTCCCCTCTCTTCTGAAAGGCACTCAGCCGGTTCTTCTTTGACCATTTCCACAGGAACAAAACTAAAAGTTTGACCCAGCGCTGCTTGGAGGGCGGCAGTGTCCATGTTTGCCTCTCCGTTTGGGAGAGGGCCTAATGTCTCACAGCACAACACAGTCACAGTTGAGTCAGTCTGTTGTTCAAAATGGGACTCGTTGCAAAGCGACACTGCCAGGCAAGACACTGTTGAATTTCCACCATCTTTTGGAATCAGACAAACAGCGGCCTGTACCTCCGAGAGATTTGAAGTACACGATGTACCGGTGTCTGGTACCAAAGGATGTTCATTTATTGACTCTGTGTGTTTGCCAAGAAGGTTGTTTGTCGTACTCGACCGGACCTTTTTGGAAGTTCTGCTTAAAATGAGCGGCCTCTTGCTGACAGGAGAGTCAAAACCTGTTGCCTCGATGTCTAAAGTCCTGGGTTTCGCTGGGGGGCTTCTTTTAAAAGTGATGCATCTCTTCTCCTCTTTGCCTTTATTGGATAGGACAGCTGAAGAGAGACAGGAAATGTTTGAGGAGAGAGTGAGGGACGACAAGCAGCAAAGGGCCGAGGTCGGATTCGAACCCACAGCCGCTGTGACGAGGACTATAGCCTGTGTTCATGGGGCGCGCAAAATAACCGCTAGGGTATCAGAGCTCCACAACAGATATATCTTGAATAATTGTAAGCCCTTGTTTCTAAGAGCTTGGATGTATAAAGTTGTTCAACACAGCACATTTTGTGTATTTTTCTATTTGTAAATATTGTATATATATTCAACTCCCTGTGCGTGTACATAGCTTATTCTTCAGATACTCTCATTTGTTACTTATTGCTTGTTCTATTTTTTTTTTATTCTCTATATATTTGTAGATTTGGGTCATATACCCGTACAGGTATATATACTGTACCTTTTCGTAGTTCAAGTTCCAATGCCCAATGGAAGAATATGAAAAAGTTTCAAAAGCCATCACAGTTCAATTGAAGATAACGACTACACAGATCTTGGTGCATTTCAATGTTGTATTCTGAAATGAGGCCAACTTAGTATTGAAGATGACAACTTATGCAGCAGACAGTTCTCAAACAAGTTCATCTGAACTTTTCTAGCAGTACAATATTACCCTCATCAATGAAGAAGATAATGTGTCCTGCAAGATTTCACTGATGAAAAAGCCAGGACAACAAGAGTGTTTTCTGCCTCAAGTAAAAAGTAACCTGTGTAATTATATAACTCATAAATCAATCTAATCCCTTCTTACGCATGGGATTTAATTTGAATAATATGATTTTTTGAAAAAGATATTGAGACTGTAGGACACATTTTCTCCCAACGTGAAATGATATTGCTCCCTCCTTGTCACATCAATTCAAACGGAGTAATATGAAGAAAGATTAGATTTAGTGATGAATGGATGGAAGAATTAACCTGAAGTTACGCGAAAAATATATGACGGAAAAAAACGAGCTGTTGGGAGTTGTTTGTTACTTGATTAAGACTATCACACTGTAATCTGTTTTATTCTTTTAATATCATACTGTGTCAGCTCCGTCTGTTATCAGAATCCCTGATAATGTGTCTTAATGTGTATTTGATTACTGAACAATAAAAGAATAAAGACACTCCTCCCCAGCTGTACATGATGTTGGAACTGTAAAGGGAGTTGAGAGATTACACAAGACGGATACTTACATCCTCAGTGGAGGGAAATGTTGTCGGGATGGCTGTGTTCTTCAGGTAGCGGATGCCCCATCTAATGTCGAAGCAGTCCTCTGTGAAATGCTCGCTGCAAAGGTACTGATGTCGACTCGGGGTCCATTCCTCCCTCTTCATGTTGTGGACCCATTTCTGAAGCCTGGGCTTGTCTTGCAAGGGAAACCTTTTGGATTTTAAGAGATGGAAATGTAACCGAAATTGAGACAGATCTAGATCACAATTGTGGAGTATCACTGTCACTTGTGAGTTGCATTATTTATGAAGTTATTATCACTCCTCCACCCTCTTGTAAACTGTCTTTCAAGCCTCCCCATGACATGCATCTTAAAAACTGATCTGCCCTAATGTGGGATTTCTTACTGCCCTTTTAACTAATGCTTTCTTTAACACAAGAGACCAAGGAAAACTACAAAACAGCACATGCAGTTAAACTAAGCATATTCAGATACAGCACAAGGTAAAAACAAAACATACGGATAGAAGCT